GTCTAAAATCAATGTTACATTAAAATTTAAACATTCAAAATAAAAAAAAAACTTTATTGAGGCAAAATGGAAATTAAACTGCGACTCTAAACAGAACAAATCAAAAGCGGCGTTTGCTTATGGAAAGTAAAACTTGAAATGATTTTTGCCAGAGTTGCTGCAAACAATGTTTTTACAGGCGTCGGAAATTCCTACTTCTTAAGTTGTTGAAGATGACAATAAATCAGCTTAAAGCTTAAAGTTACATAATCACTAAGGTGTTCTCCATCACTGTCAAAACACGACTCTTCCAAACTCTGCAGTGTTCGAATAATTTTCCAACTTTCCACGTCTTTTCCGAAGATTAGCTGACTCAAGTGGAAACGCAGCCTGACAGGCAGGCATGCGGTGTAGCTCAGCCAATTTTAAGTGGCTTCACCTGTGCAGAAAGGACAGGTGTGCGTATGTTAGCAGCTAGAAGTCACCTCACAGATCAAGTGAGCGGCGATAGGGGTGCGATAGTCTCTGCATGTCCCAGGGGAGAAAAACATTAGAGCCCCATGCGTGTACTGTGGCCCTTGCTAAAGCACACCCCCATGGATAACACATTCCACTCAGCTAAACAGCCATGAGAGCTGAGGGTTTGTGATCACTAAAAGTAATATGTGCAGCCTGGGATGCAAACAGGCACACAAAACGCTCAAAACGCTCACACATAAAGAACACGTCTCAATCGAACCCTCCCAAAGAAGCACTGAGGTGCATAACTGAAATTCAAACCCCACATAGACAGCAGCTTTTCTCACTCAGAGACAATGGCATCTCATCCTGAAAAGAGGCAATTTCTCATGGAAAATCTGGTTGATCTGGAGGATGCAGAAACCATGTGAAGCGGGGGTCAACGTTTAATAGATAAAAAAGGAGCTGACTAGTATTGCCAATCCCAATAGGTTTAAATCAGCAACTACTGTTGTTGAAGAAATCCCATCTCAAAATCCCTGAACATATATCATGCGGAGCAGACAGTTTTAATATTTCTCCCTCTCCACGGTTTTCCTCCAATATTTGCGGATATTTCCTTTGGCAGCTCAGCTTTCCTCTCACTTTGCAGTATTCCTCATTAGCGCGGTGTGAGGGTGTGTGTCTGCGTCTGCTCTGCGGCAGGTTCGCCTTCGTGTCCAGGTTGTTTTCCCCCCACTTCGAGAACACGGTGTTTCTGAGACTGGGTCCTGGTGTCCTGGAGGTATCCATGGAAAACACAGAACTGGACGAAAAAACGCTCCTATAATACATCCTCACAGGTGGCTTGTAATAGGGTTGCAGAGAAACATTAGCGCTTTATGGCCCTAACAAGAACAGAAGAGGAAATGTGTCACAGCCACCACCGGGTTTTGCCATCTTGGCAGTGTGTGAGTGTGTGTACCCGCTTGGCAGTTAAGAATCATTAAAATAAGGGCGAGAGGAAGACATCGAATGGCTTCGTGACTCTAATGAAGAACAGCACTGACGACCGCAAGAGCCCATTCATACACACCAACAGCGTAAACACCAAACGATACACATATGCGCACATCCAAATACGGTTTATCTTTGGTGTTTTGCTTCCTGCCTGCGAAACAGCCTTTCCTGTTGGACTAAGTATGATGACCCCGTGAACACACGCAATCAAAAGCTCCACTGTACAGAAACATCGGCGCATGTGTGACGCCTTGGGGTCACACGCTAGAGCGAACAACGAGATGTGAAAACCACAAAGTGGATTTCTTTTCTCGGTTTATTTAAAGCAAAGCGTGCACAGTTGCACTGTAGACGCCGTGAGGCATGGGCAACGGTGATTAAACGACCGAATGTGGTCGCAGAGAGAGGGCTGTGGATAGGTGCCGGAAAGATGAGGAAGTTGGGCGACAAGGCGTTCAGTCACCCCCCTTTACTTCCTGGGCCAACAACCCTCACCACTTCCAGGCGAGCATCCTAAAGAGGATGTTGTGTGTTCCAAACTGCTCTGCACTTTCTCAACCACAGCTATATCACTTCAAAAGCTTAGCCACTGAACTGTTTATTTATGGGCCGCGCAGCACTGATTGTACGGCAAAACCATTTGTTCGCCGGAATGGCGCTCGATGCTCGCACTACCTTCTTTGGCTGTTGCTTAATTGCTTTCTTTGCTCAAGGGTGTCATCTAGTGGCCTTAAACGCAACGGTTCGACAGAAAAGATGCACACAACTAAAAAAAAACAAAAAAAAACACAAAGATTTAAACAGCAGATTCTCCGCCTGTCTTTGTTCCTGGTTTGAGTTTCACACAGCTGCATGCGAAGAGACCTGTGATGATTTGTAGCGCTATAATGGCTCTTCCTCCTCCTCACCTCTCCTCCCAGACTATGAGATAACAGTTCTCATCTTACGTTGATCATCGGCAGCAGAGGCTAAGCAGGGGTTTGCCCGTGTCGATGGGGGGCACAGAGTTGACCTAAAGGTGGAGGAGGCGAGGCGTGAATGGGTGGAGGACTAGCAGGTGTCCAAAGCTCCCCCGGCTGCAGGCAGGTGCACAGCACCTGTGTAACATGTGCTCCTGTGTATTTCCAAGGACTGCAGAGCTCTGACTGTCAGCTGTGCTCTCTGAAGTTTTTCCCTCTCACCCTCGCACACTTATCACCTCGGCCTCCCGAAGCACATCAATGCTCCCCTTCCTAACAGGCACAGCACACACTTCTGTCAGATTACACGCAAAGCCTTGGCTAATGTTACCGGTCAAAAGGTGACTCATCAAGCGCTGTGGATCATTGGCAAACAGATGTGTTCAGCATGACTCCCATTAGATCTAATAAGAACACTGTGATAGATGCACTGCTGTGTTTTGAGTGGCCTTTGAGTGGAACATTAATCAACAGACCCGTTGTGTTTTTGTTTGATCATTTTCATGGTAAAATGTAATGGTTGCTGCTTGTTTTGATAATGTGAAGCACTTTGAACTGGCTTGTTGCTGAAATGTGCTATACGAATAAACTTAACTTGACACACAGTTGGGAAAGAATCGCTGCCAAACCTGAATTTCCAATGAAGGAAAATTAAAGTTTAATCCTATGAAAGCAACCTGGGGCTACATGTATGGAAGAATCTGAAAGGGAACTTGTTAGAAGCTGCAAAAGACTTGAAACATCAGCAGATGTTGACACAATGACACTTAGCGTACGGCCAGACCTGCGGCGGAACAGCTTACACATATCCATGTGTCATAACGTCCCAGTCAAAGTCCAAACTTTAATCTGATTACGGTGTTTTCCTGTTTTGTTTTCTGAATATATAGAATTTACATCGCAATAAAGGTGGCAAAAATCATAAAATGATATATTTTGGCCTCAATTTCTCTTCAGTGCAAAAAAGTTTTCATAATATAAACATTTTATATTCACTTTATGGTGCACCAGCCGACTCAGCACATTAAGGGTGACTGTCAGACCGAGGGGAGTTTAATCAGAAATCATCGTTCCATAACAGTGGCCGTCTCCTCCTATGGGGAGTTCCCCTTTGAGAAAAGGAGGAAAGATCAGAGGTGAAGGAGAAACCTGGAGGTGGGACGGTGCAGAGTAATGCAGGGCTGCTTAGAAAACGAGAACTGAACCCAGTTCCCGTAAGACGTTCACACAAACTCATCACTAACATCGATGCTCTATTAATTTTAAGCTTCTGAGGTCCCACTCTTTTTTTTTTCCTCATTTTGTTCTACAAAGCAATACCATACACAACTCCGGTGATGCTTTAGAGCAACGCATAAGTTTGGCTTTATTGTGGATTTTCTCCAAACCACTATGATTTATTCCACCCATTTTACATGGCGGAATGGTTCTAAGACAAACATCCTCACTGATTTTTAAAAACAACCAATGGGTGTACAGATTTGAATTTATTGTGTATTTTCTCTAATCCAAAGAGGTCCAAATGATACACACAGGCTCAAGTAGATGGTACACATAAACTCTGACTAATAGCACCAAAGAAGGTTCCACAGAAACCAGTGGATTTTTGTGGCCGTAAACAAAGTCCGAGCAGAAGTACGGCTGGATATCTGACCACTCCTGTTAGAAACGGTGGAGCTAATTGAAACTAGTGGTTTCCTGGCTTTTAAGTGAAGTCCACAAATCATCCATAGGGTTGAGGACCTCAATATTTTATCCATTCCAAACCAGTTCTGACATGTGTTTGGATCACTTTGCTCTTTGTGCCAAAGCTTCAGCCGTTTAGCTGTTCATTTGAGGTGAAGTTGTAAAGAATTTGAAGGTGGCATCCATCTCTTATTTACTCAAACCACTTACTGCTATGAACAGTACAAATGGGCGAGAAACAAGCAAAGAGCATTGAGCTACTGTTACCATGTTTACCAGGTCATACTTTGATCCCAAGCTTTGAATGTCTCATCTGAAGTCATGGAAACATTCCTCTTATCGTTCTGTAATATAAGCATTTCTGTAAAAGATAAATCCACCCATGCATGAAGGTGTCAATTTCAGAGAAAGGACGTCTTTTTTGGTTGGTACCGATTCAGCTCATGTTTATGTGAACCTTGGTAACAAGACGTTTGAAACAATGATCTCAAACACATAAAAACTGGTTTTGAAAAGGACTTTAATGCCTCGATTCCACTGAGCGGAACGGTCAGTGAGGTTCGGCTAGTTTATGGTCCGCCATATTCAGGAGAGCATTTCCACCACCTGTTGAATTCTCACTGGGCAGGTGGGTTAAACCCAAAATGCCTAGTGAGACAAAGAACGTAATAATTCAGACTCTTCTGGGGACTTTTGTTCCAAAAAAAGTAACTAGCCAAAGCAAACGCAGGCAGCTGAGTCCTGCATACACAATGCCACTGCCAGTTGATTTCCCTTAAATTCACAGTTTGGAAGTAAATATAAAATATTCTTTGAAATAAATCACTGCTTTCTATTTTAGTCTTGTCAAATTGTTAATGAAGACTGTAAATAAAAATGGTCTCTTAAGTCTCATTGGGTTAGAAGCCCAATGAGACTTAAGAAAACTTAAAAAGTTCATATTTTATTCTAAAACATATTTAATGAGCTTAATGTCCAACTATTGTCACTTCTACAGCAGAATGTTTGCCCACTATGAACACTATATAAATAGAAAAAGAAAATAATTAAAGCCGACATCAGTAATTATCAGCCAAACAAATGGTTACGGTGTGTGACTATTGTGAACAATTCTGGCTTCAAGCTTCTGGATTGTCACTGAAAGACATCAAGAAACTGCTCTACTGCAGCGAGTGTCCAGCGTAAAACAAAACCAGATCTTACGTGAGCATAAACACATTCACAAACAGAATTTCCTCAACGTCTGGACAGCATTACGTGGTGTGTGGAGAGGACCCCGCCTCCCTCCACACATCCCCTCGCCCTAATTATCGTCTGCATCATTGGAGACCGAGCGCTCTCAAGGACTCGTTTTATCACTAATGTGGCGGCAGCACAAACGCAGCGCCGCTCAGCCACAGTGACAGGACGACTTTCTGCAACATGAAATCTACAACGACACGACCGATAAGAAGAGCATAAAGGAGGCTTTTTTTAATGTAACATTTGATTTTACATGATGATGATGATGATGATGATGATGGACAACAAAAGACCGCTGTGGGAACTATAAGCAGTGTTCACCACAAATGACGGGGAGCTGAGTATCATGTGATGGCGCTTTGAACTCTCCCCATGAAGTCGGGAGAAGAAGGAAGCGCAGCGGAAACGCAGAGACCCACCCGATAAACAGACAGACGGGGTAATGTTGTCGAAGGCGTGCCCAGTCGCCGTGCCGACAGGAACAGGGCGTTGGGCAGCGTATGAACCGTGGCAGGAAAACAACAGGAGCTGCTCACCAAATGTATGTTCTCACTAATAGCTTAGCATTAGCGCGGCTTGCTTTACTTAAAAAGCGATCCCTGGCGGAACCAACTCGAGAGCACAGAGACTTAACTGTGAGATTTCCAAAAAGCTGCCAACATTTCCAGACCCAGCCTGTTTAATGGCTTGAAAGGTTGAAATCTCAAAAAGACAAGACTAAGAAACAGCAACTTTTAGTTCAGTCTTCCTGTTGTTTGTTTAAAGTCCTGCTCTCTCTCGCTCCCACACAGCCTGAATGTACCGCACTTGTTGCAACATGGCATAGAAAACGTTTGTTTCCTTTCGATTAACTTCTTATATCTCGGTACTTCGTCCAACTTCTTAATCACCTAACTAGCAGCATCCAGACTGAGTGTTGTTCTTACCACAACCTGCGAGCGCCGCGATATGATTAGTGTACACATCAAAAAAAAGATCAGATTTCTGAGTTTCTGATTTCTCTGTACATCTCTAACAAACAGATAAGAGATACTATATTTATTTATGTTAGATCATTTGCAAGATCTTAGAATTCAATTCTAAGATTTTATAATTATAAGCTAGTCATTATATTAAAAAAAAGATTTTTTTTGTCACTTTATTGACATTTTTTTTGTCCTTTTATTAGCAAAGTAGTACAAATAATAGCAACATTATTAAGATCAAAGATAACCAAAATTAAAAATGTTTTTTTTTTTTTTTTTAAACTCAAAAAAGATTCCTTGCTATTTTAGGGCCTTTGTGTCTTCACTTTCCACTGACGTCTGATTTTGTGTCGTCCTTGGCAGACCTTTTGTTTAGTCCGCTGAAATACTTCTCTCTGAAGGCGTTGTGTCCCTGGTAGGGGATGAAGCGGGGGTCTGAGAGATGAGCCAGGCTGTCCAGTTCCTGTAGAACAAAACAACAATATCTGGGCTATTATTGTGCTTAACATGTAACCGTCAAGCCTAAGTTCAAGCAACTATTTCACAAACCTGTATAAAAAAGGACAAAGAGGTGTATAACAGGTGGTAATTTTGTTTTTCCTCTTAAGAAAAAAAAAAAAAAGAGAAACAATGTGTAGTTTCCCGTGTTTACATTCTAAATGCATGACTAAATTATATCAACTGTTTCCTCCTTATAAAGACGTTTGTGTTGGCTGGAAGCTAGCTGCTGATCTGCGGAGCCATCGGGGGAGGAAGAGGGATGCTGGGAAGAGGAATAATGAGGTGAGTTGAGCTGGAAGTGCTGTAATATGTTTGTACCTCCTCTCGTTTGCTCGCAGACGCTGCCAAGCAACCTGGAAACATTTTCCATGATCATTCAGAGGAAACAACCTCACCATGAACCCAAATTAAAGAGCCCATATTATGCTCAATTTACAGTGTGCAGTGTTATTTTGGCAGTCCACAGAGAGAGTTTACCTCCTTTAATGTTAGGGGGGGAGGGAATAAAATAAAATAAAGCGGTTTTGCTGTTGCACATCTTCTCACCAATTAATAACATTCTTTGTTCCTAAAGGCCAAAAAAAAAAAACATAATTTGCCTCCCTAACATTATTAATGGTAAAAAAAAAAACAAAAAAAAAACCTGTATGATAAAGACCACAGTCACAACCTTGTTGTGTTTTATAGTCACAATTGTGTTATTGTTTGCATTTTCTTAAAAGTGCAAACAATAAAATTCAATGGCACGACAATATCTCGAAAAGGTGTTATCGTAACAATCTCGATACTATCACCGTCTTCAACGCATAAGCAGACTCAGACCTGACTCTAAAGGAAGCAGAAATGCTAAAGATGAGTCAGGTAGTTTGGAAAGGAAATGGCATCAGCAAGAAGAGATGGTAATTGTTAGTCCAAATTAATTTAGTTCATTCAGCGTTCACCGGTGGTTTCCTATTGCTGGTGATTCACGGCATCCTGCAGTCACACTCAGTGCGTAAAAGAGCAGCAGCATTATGGCTGCAGCAGCATTATCAAGTACAGCCAGTAAAATGAAATGACGTGGAGCAAAGCTTCCTGTTTCATGGTGAGTGAAACTAGAAATCAGCAGGAATTATGAGACCCTTTCCAAAGACAAAAACAAACAAACAAAAAAAAAACACTTGTTTTTTTGTAAAGAAAGAAAAAAAACTACAGTTGCTATAGATTTAGATAAGTCAGAAGAAAAGCTTGGATTCAATGCAAAAGATGGCGAAAGTAACGATGACGCCATCTTGTCTTGTGGGAAAGAACAGCATTGCCATCCCAAAAACAGTGCGCACATTTATAAAATTACCAAGAACAGTTTGAAAAGAAATAATTGCTCGAGTTTACATTCTGCAGATCCATAAACATATTCAGGCATTTGGATGGATTCTCACTTCTGCAGACACCGATTACGATGCACAATATGCAAGAAGTAAGGAAAATTTTGTTTTTATCAAAACTTATGTCATCACTGTAATTTTAAACCAACAATAATGCCATCACATGGTTTTCAAACATCGTACCCTCCTGGAGATGGCTGACAATTTAGAAATAATTTTAGTGTAAGGTATATTTTACTTTATTTCTCCAAAGAATAAAACCCTATTTTACCAAGCTTTTCAGCGTTACTTCTCTCAATCTCTCGAGGAGCGTGACGTCACTTCCGCTCTTAAATTTGGTAGTATTTGGTTGTTTTTTTTATTAAACTGAGCTGAAATAATGGGTAACAGTTAATTTCTGAATTTGCAGAAAAGCAGCAGCTGAAAATGTAAATCACAGTTGAGTGTTTTTGTCACTGGACGAAGCAAATTCAGACTTTTTTTTTTTTTTTTTAAATCAATATGCTACTACTGAAAAAAACTACAAGCTTAGCAGAAGAAGCCCGTTTCAGCTATTGGATGGAAAATGTCAGTATTGGCGGATATTTAAATTCATTTACAGAGAGCCGGCTGGAAACTGACATTTCTAAATCAAACGAATCTTTTTCCGACTAGAAATCAAATGTTGAAAGGAATAAGGCCATGTCATTTACCACAGAAACACAGAAAGAGCGTGAACCCACACGCACGCACACACGTCAAAGTGAAGCAAACATTTGCTTGGGAAACATCAAGCTGGGAAGCCTGATTAAAGCGTGCAGATAGGAGCACTCTGAAAGCCATTTGGAAAGAAAAGAAAAACGCAACCTGAGACAGATACCGCTCAGATAACATCACACAACTCTGTGTTTGTGTGCGCATGTTATACAGCGCCGTTCATGGGAGCAATTTTGTGGGTTTTGAAGTGGACTGGATGTCAGATCCAAAGACGGATTGTTTTCCATACGACGTGTGATTAAGCCATTTAGGGTTCCAGTATAAAAGAAATGAGCCAATCACAGCCAGATGGCGAGGATTTGCTGCAGACAGAAATACAGACACCGTCACTTCCAGCGGGATGTCATGTGAAAACAAACACGCGTCCTGCATACGCTCGTTCGGAACATGCTCACACGGTTACACAAACGGAGCACTTCTGTAAAATACAATGACTGCATTAAGGAACGGAGGGGGTGGCACACACGTGTTTTCACTTTGCATACATGTTTCTGATCGAGCACACACACCTATATACATACACACACAAAAACATCAAACATTTCTGCTGCTCACACGATGCTAATAAGTAATAATATGATCATCTGTAAAGCAAAGACATAGTTATAACACGGCTGCACTTCCAGAACAGGAAAAAAAAAGCAAAGTTAGAACCAAGCAGGTACAGCAAAGGAACGGATTTACTTGATTATCTCAGTGACACTTTACCTGACAAAACAACCGCCATGAAGCTGAGGGCGTTTTCATGAATGTTTACGACTGTTGTCATGAAGTGTCATTTGGTAAACAATGACACTTTTAATGCAAAGTTGGATCAAAAGTCCGTTAAAAGAGCCAACTTTGCATTAAAAGTGTCATTATCTACCAACTGACACTTTATGACAACAGTCGTAAACATTCATAAAGACTCTTTCCTATTCATGTCATGTCAGTCACACCCTGTTAAATAAAGTGTTACCATTATTTCTATCTTATTAATTAATCATTTGACTTGACTGGGGCTCGTCATATCAGCCCTTCTCCATTTGACAACTGTGAATCAGAGGTGACGGCCCCTAATCTTTGCAGAAAGGACCTAAAAATAAAAAGTTGTTTTGAGATCACAAACAATTTAACATCCTTTTCTATATTCTGCACCAGGTTTGTTGAATTAAAATGTAAGGTAGTTTTATGACTCCCGTAAATGATATTTACCAGATGGAGGTCATTTGGAGTCATTTCAGCATTACAGGTCTCGTCGTTTGTCTCATTCTGTGAGATTCAACTGACCCAAACCAGGGATAGAAATCTAAATAAGTATTTCAAATTATACTGGCGTATCAAACTGAATTATGCGCACGATCAGAAGCCATAGAAATATTTAACAACATGAGCGAGGGCAAATCGACCCGCCGCGGTTTGACTGTGCTGGAACACACTGGGTCTTATTCATCCGTTCCTTCTTTTTTTTTTTTTTTTTTTTTTTTTTTCCAAAAAAAAAATTTAAAAAAAACACAGGACCAGCAACTCCTCGTATTCCAACTAGAAAAACATCGGAATTTTAATTCCCATAAACACTTTGGATTTCCAGCTTTCAGGCTGACATTTTCCGCCAGCACTTACCTCTGGCTCCTTAATTTTTTCCATGGTGATTAGTCGCCGTGACGTGTGGCTGGAGAGCGTCTGCTCGCAGTTACTGATGAGGAGAAGGCAAGGATGAACAGGAACCATCTCCTCGCAGTACCTGGGAAACGGACAACAGGACACATTCAGCAAGGTGCTCGTCCTCCGAGCAGAGACACAAAGCAGTGGACTGATTCAGAGTACATTTAAGTTATGAAAAGAAAAACTGAATGACTGGAAACATTTGAGTTACTGGACTAAGGAAGGATTTACAGCAAAGGCCTTATTTTCTCTGTGTTGCTCTCTTTCTCTAATAAACACCATCTGCTCCGGCAGTGCAGTGAGATCACAGCTTGTAAGCTTGTGAAGGTTTTGTTGGGTGCAAAGAAGAAGGTGGAAAAAGTGAATCTGAGCTGACAGGTTGACTGCTCGCTCCATCATCACCGGGCCAGTCCACGCTAAGGCCTATTAACCGAGCATGATGTATGCGTTTGCGCGTTTGTGTCAAGTAGCACTTTCTCCACACCGCCACCGGCGTAGCGACAGTCCCGACAACTCATAAGCCAGATTTCGACGTCACCGTTTCGCCCCGTTTCCTTGGCCGCACGTGGGACTCGCCACTGATGGGGATGTTTGGTTGCTATGGGAACGGCTGGTGATGCAGCCAAAGGATAATCCTGCGCTGCCTATCAGAAAGAGTCAATGCGGAGAGAGGAGTCCGACCTACTTTTTTTTCACCCCCCCCAATCAGACTTCTGGGTTTGTGTAAATAACAAAGTCGTTAAAAACAGTTCTGCTCTCAGAGATTCTTCTCCAGTCAAACTCATTTATTAGCATCCTGAGTTAACCAAAGGAGCGTAAGAATGGTTGGCTATTTAAAGTTTGGTTGTTAACTTTTGTTTCCTCATGCATTAAAATGCCCCTTCACACTGCACTGAGACATGCCAATAAATATCATCAAAACAATCTTTTGCTCCTTTACAGCTTTGAGCACAAACAAAAGTTTGTGGTGAGTTCTTGGTGGTTCAATATTATGATATGGTTCAATATTATTATTTGTAATTATAGGCAATGAGAGCGTTGCACTATGTTCGAATCACTGTGCAGGAGGGCACGCTGGATGCACTCTGTTTGGAAAACCCCCTTCACCTGCATCTTCTCATTAACTTATTAAAGTCCAGATGGTGTTTCCTCCCCTACAGCGAGGCTGAAACTGCTGATGAAGGAGCAGAAACCCCCAGCGCTTTTTGAGATTGGAGCAATTTTGGAATAAGGAAACAACTCGATGCAGACCTGAAGCCCATTTCAGTAGCGTTACGGCAGGACGGCTGGGAGGAGCAGAAGAAAAAGTTCCTTACTAAGTACTAAGAGTGCAGCATGGCCATGATTATCTTTAAACTGGCATTAGGCTTTACAGATTTGTTGTTTTCTAGTCACGTCTGAACAGCCTTTCGAAGTCCTGGAGACTGTGTGGCGGTGTTCATCCAGTGTGAAGGCGACTTAAGTCCTTGATCTTTTTCACAATTTCACTAAATGTTTGTTAAAGGATTTGCTATGCGTGACTTCCAGGACCAAGAACCGGTTAATCAAAATAGAAAACAAAAAAAAAAAAATCCTCAAACATCATTCTTTACACAAGTTTTTTTTCCTAACAATGCACCATTTACATCTTGGCTTTGCGTATTTATGTTGCAGCTGGGTAACTTTATGGCAGAGATGACGGATGCAACATCATCCATCTTTATCCTTTTCTCTACTTCATTTATTATTTTTCAGGGGCAAAAATGGAGGAAAGTCGAAGCAGTTCAACAAAGTCTAGACGCTGTCTTGGTGAAAGGACTTCATGTCACCTGTCATCACACACACACACACACATACACACTTACAGCTCTTTATTGTCATGAAGCGGCCAGACGTGGTTCTATCATGGCCACAGATTCATGCTTGCATATGTTGGTTGGAGGGGGCAATTGAAACCTGATAGGGTTCCCCGTAGAGCCTCCAGATAGGGCCCAGGAGACAGGCTACGTCTGGCCTTACACACACACACACACACACACACACACACACACACACACACAAGCGCGCGCGAACGCAGACACAAACATTCTCAAAACACAAAGGTCAGCCTGCAGACCGTAGAGACAGATAATTCATATATCTGTCCTGCCTGCTCGGCCTCGCGTGTTTATTTTGGCACAGGCCCGGTTGCCGAGGACTGATGGGATGACGTGTGAACATGATGGCACAAACATTAGCTCAAGTGCAAGACCACACACGCTCACGCATGTATGAAAATCCATGCAGTTAAGCAAACTGCTATTACCTTTTACGCTGAATGTTCTCCCTGCCTCTTCCGAAGCTGCACGACGCGCGATTATCTCATCTCCTCCGAAACCTTATAATCA